TCATCTTATCATGTCACATCCAAGCAGCAGTTACAGCACCATGGAAAAGCAGGACTGCATTTTAATACATAATGCATTGTTGAAAATGTGTTTGAAAGTCAAATGTATAAATTTCAAATAACAGACTTACTGTTATGTGTTGATCCCCAAAAGCAAATAAGTTCAAAATTCCAATTCAGGATTCCTCTCTTGCCCAGGCAACGTTGCTCACAATAAGAACCTTCACAGGCCCTCAGAGCAAGAAGCAAATGCTGGTGTGTAAGGGGTCCCTGCTGAGTCTCAGCATCTCCTTTGACCAGATGGCTATCCACCCATCCCTGAGCAGGAGTTGGGTGGATGGTTAGAAGATTATTAAGTACAGGAATCAATGTCTATTATTGTTCCCTCCCAGACTAGGGCTGCAGCAGAGTGCTCCCCTAGGAGGCTCCTCAACTGGCTGTGGCCATAGGGAATAATCAGAAAACACTCCTTGCCTTTGGCTGAAGTCACTCACCTGCAGGTAGGCCAGCAAGTAGAGCCATATGACCTTGTGATCATTTGAAATTGTTAGCTACCTGGAGATACACAAAAGCTTGCATTCTGCATATTAAAGGCAGTTTGTTGTCAGTGTGGACTGAGTAAAAGGATAGATAGTATATACTCTGAGGCTTGCAGGTTAAGGGAACCTCAGGTGAATAGCTGCATCCTCTCCTTAGTGCCCTAGTCATTTCATGGTTTCCTTCAGGCTTGCTGTCTTATTCCCTTCAGGCTGCTATAACAAAACACCATAGTCTGGGTGGCTGATAAACAACAGAAATTTATTTTTCACAGTCTGGAGACAGGGAAGTCCAAGATCAAAGTGTCAGGAGATTTGGTGTCTGGCAAAGGCCTACTTTCTTCTTCATAGAGGGCCATCTCAATCTGTCCTCACATGGCAGAAGGGGCCTGGGAGGTCTCTGGAGTCAAGTTTATAAGGGCAGTAATTCCATTCACAAGGGCTCCACCCTCATAACCTAATCACCTCTCAAAGGTCCCACCGCCCAATACCATCACATTGAGGGTTAGGTTTCAACATATGAATTTTTGGGGAGACACATTCAGACCATAGCACTGGAATGATTGGATTGGAACGTTAAAGAGGCTGATGACTCTTCTCTTGAGCTAAAACACTACTCTAAAACACTACTAGTTTGCAAGAGGCATAGTCAACGGTAACAGAAATGTGAGCAGTTGTACTTAATGAGTACTTTGTGCCAGGCACTTTGGTCCCACAAACAGTATTATCCCCATTTCACAGGTGAGAATATTGCTTTCCTCAAGGTCCTCATGTAGCTGACAGTGGAATGGAGACACACTCAGGGAGGTCTGAACTTGTAACCAGTATGCTACACTATCTCATTACATAATTTTCTTTAAAGTCTTAGGTCCTTTTTCTTTCTGGCTATCAAATGAAACAAATATGAGCTGATTATATGCAACATTAGCAGCTTGCAGGTTCATATATCAATTTTCCCTAATAAAAGGGACTATCTTAGCAACTGAGCCTCAACCAGTTATTTTGATATTCACTGCATTCCAGTGGTAGGCATAATTTATGCAGAGCTGAACGGTGGGTTCAAAATGGCAGCAAATTGTACCCATGAACTGTCTGTGCTGGGGGGGTGGGGGGCTGTCTTTCCTGGCTTAAGTTTGCTTATAAACTGCACATGGAACAAACCCAAAAGGAACCTCTTCTGTCTCTAACAGAACGGCCGGTCAACCCCTTTTCCTTTTTGAGTGCTCCTAGAAGAGACATCCTAGTGTTGAAAGTGTTTCTTTAACGTAGCTGCCCTCCGGGAGTCTGCCCCTCACTGGGCTAGATGCATGTTCTGATGGAGAAAGTCTCTGGGTTCCTGGACAGCCTTTCACCCTGCTGCTTGCACTATCCTTGGCTGCTCCCTTCAAGCTGCCTAGCAACTGACTGACATTCCCAAGCCACCAGGCCTGTTTGCTTTTCACTCTAACCCTTGATTTGGCTGGAACCTCAAAAACAGGATGGGGGAAGGGGTGACAAGCAGTAGGAAAGGGCAAGGCCTAATTAGATTAAGGGAATTTTGAGAGGAATGCAGATTAAATAGCCATTGGCATGTGACAACGAATATCCTAGTATATGACAGAAAAGTTACCCTGGGAAGAGCCGGCAAAACAATTCTTCTAAGGAATGTTCCGAGAAGGTAAAATCTGGTACTTTGTCCTACAACTCTTAGTTTATCTGTACTTATTGCTGCTCAAGGCTTAATAGGGGTTAAGTGCAAATCTTTTCCCTGAGCAACAGAAGCAATTTTTCCTTTTCATATTTTTAAGTATTCTAAATACATTCTACTTTTAATTGCTATACAAATTAAACACAGCAATTTCTCATTTTTTTATTGAAAAATGGAGAGTGCTAACCAAACTGAATGAAGCTATCAGCATTTTTTGGGGGGGGGGTGTCCAATTATGTATGATTTGCATAAACCATTAAGAGTATAAAGTGTACTACAGGCTAAATGCATTGAGCTTCATCTGACATAAAATTATAAAATATTAGCTGATTCATTTCAAAACAAATACAATAAAACATAGGAAGAACAATGATGAATTTTACTTTAATGAAACTGAAGTCAGGGATATGAAGACTGGCTCAATTTTTCTTTAATTTCCCAAATATCTTATTTTCCTACTGTCTTTGTTTAACTTTAACAGACATATTATAACACTTGCTCTGGGAAAGCATCTATGGTTACAAATAAAAAGTATGCATCCATAGTCCTTAAACTTGATTTCAATGCCAAATTTCTGATTTTAAAAAATAAAATTATTAATATTGAATGAACATTGATTCATTGGTAATGCTCATTTTTAAGACATCTGAAAATGAAATGTAATAAAATTTTGCTTCCAAAGTTAAGCTGGCACAATCCATACAAAACAGAACTGAAACAAAAGCAAACTGCACCAAAGCAATTACATAACCAATCTTTATCCCTTCTTTCCACATTTCATACACCTTTACAAAGCCATGTATCATTTTGTACTCTTTATCTTGAAAAGGATGTCCTGCTACCTAGGTACTTAAATTCTATACATGTTAAGATATATCCTGAGGACATTAGTGTGTTTAACCACAGGAATGATGTAAATTTTGCATGTAAAGCAGTAGAATAAATGCTTGGCAAACCTTAATGTGAAGTTCTGTAGATATATTATTTTGCCAGATAATATAAAAAATTCACAATGGAAAACCATGAGTATTTCTTTTCATTATAACTTTTTAAAAATGCAACATTTATTTCACAACCCCTTGAACGCCTATTTTTTTTTTTTTAATTTACAGAATTGAGGGAAGTATTTTAAATGTCAAGATATACATGCTGAAAGTGATTGAGCATATAAGCACCAAAATCTGAAAGATTTACAAAAATTGTTGGACTTGTAAGGTGCATTTATTCATGAACTACACTCAGTTTGAGGGAAGAAACAAACCCCAAACCTCATTAGTACTTAAGAAACAGATGAATAGCTTTCAACTTGGTTTACAGCAAAATAAAAAAATACTGCTTTTAGTTTTTTTTATACAAGTCATCTGAAATTTAGATTCAAATGTTAAGTGCTGCCTTTTACTGTGAATGGCAGTTTGAACATTAAATCTATGTCCCAGTTTATGATACCTCACACACAATAAGTATTTAATGGCCTAAAATTTGAGTCAATTAGTGAATATCTAAAGTTAACAAAAAAGTTAGATCTCTACATCTTGATCTAGAATTGGGTATAAAGTAATTTTGCATCAAATAAAATTATTTTTTAAATGTTATCAGTCCATTCAGTAATTAGGTCTTTTCTAAATATGTGCATATATATATCTGGCAAAAACTGCTATTATGAAGTCAAATGAAGTAAATACAAAATTTCTTGGTTTACAAATCAAAATTACTATGATATTAGAGCATGCCTCTTTCCAAACCACCTTGTCAATGCTGATAACAATTAAGATAAGTAAATGCCAGCATTGCTCTAACTGCACTGAGAAGGCTGTCCTGAATGACCCAATTAGGTGGGGAAGGGACTTGGCCTAGATCCCCATTTCTGTGGAGTTGCCACCTCCACCCTCACTCTAAATAGCTTTCACAAAATCAAGTTATTCACATCGATAACACAAAATCCAGCAAGCTATAGTCCTGAAAGCCATCTACACTTATATATTTTTTTACTGTGGACATTAAAAAGAGAATTTTATTGTGCTTTTCACATATCTGATATAAGTTTTCCTATCATTTTATTTCTAGGTTTCTTGGGAAGGGAAGAGAAAGACTAAGAGGAACATCAAGAGAGTCAGACTGTAAAGTAACATTACACACACAACTAGCCAAATATCTTTTTAATTTAAAAGATACAATCATCAAAAGGCAATATATATAT